CATAATTTGCGTCATGTTACTTGGATATTCTGAATTTGTTTAATTATTTAACTATTTTGTACCTATATATGTGCGCTGTTATTTGTCCATCGGATCGTCTCCCCATATTGTACACCACCGTAGTAGCATTGCAGTTGAAGTCACTCAATGAAAGCCACTGATGGCTCTGAGAGAGACTGGAGCTCGTATAGGGGTGGCGTGGAAGAGGTAGCCCTGAGTTCAGCGGCGCTGAACGCAACTTGTCCCATAATATCGCATTACGGGCCAAAATATGCTACGCTTACGTGTTCTTACCGGCGAATGTTTTCTACCGTGAATCAGCTTAACACGGTTTATTAGGTCAGTTCTCACTGTGCTTATTCATCAATGCACTGGAGGCTTAGAACATTTAAACTCAAGTCCATTTATCCCGAGTGCGTGGAGGAAGAGCGAAAATGCGCTTGGATTCTGACGTTAACGCCTGCCAGAATCGTTTGTGGTGTGATGAGTGGAGTTCTTCTCAAAAATGTTTGAAGTTCGAAGTTTCTGAGTGTATTTCAAAACCGTGTCTTCTGGTCTAGTTATCTGTTTCCTTGCGAGAAAAAACCTTTCGAAGTGTCTTGCAGTGTGTTGTAAAGTGCTTTTATTATCTTTTGTCGTAACCTGAAGTTGTGTGAAAAATCATAAGAATCGAACCATTGGATGTTCGCTTGCCATTTTCAGTCGATCGTCCTGCCCTTGCTACTGAAAGCTATCGGTTACATCATCCAGTTTAATTTTTTTTTTTTATTTAAAGTAATCTTGTTCGAATGCTTCTGGGTGACGTTTATGAAGATGTGGGATTGAAATTTGAAAAGGCGGCTGTGTCAATCGAGTTACCAGAAGATCCCCTTTTGTTCATGTGCGTGTTCATTAATTTTTCCAGGTTCAGAGGCACGTGATAACCACCGGTTTAACCTGTCCGGGGTCAAATCATTCAGGCCTCGATATGACTTCCGGTTCATTGTTAACATGCCTCCACATATTATCGACGTTTGTGATTTTCGCCCTCGCAACCCGCGATTTCTACTCAATCCTTGGTGTTCCCCGATCCGCGTCCAAGAACCAAATCAAAAAGGCCTACCGAAACCTCGCCAAGGAATTGCATCCTGACAAAAACCAAGGCGATCCGGATGCCCAGCAAAAGTTTCAAGACCTAGGAGCAGCATATGAAGCACTTTCCGACGATGACAAGAGGAAAATGTACGATCGCTGTGGAGAAGAGTGTTTGAAGAAGGAAGGCGGGATGGGTGGAGACGGTTTCGACGCGTTCTCTAGTTTCTTCGGTCATGACTTCGGAGGATTCGGTTTTGATTTCCACGGTCAAGGACGTGAACGGGAAGTGCCTCGAGGTGCGGACATCGTCATGGACTTGTGGGTGTCCTTGGAAGAACTCTATGCCGGGAATTTTGTGGAAGTTGCGAGGATGAAGCGTGTGGTGCGACCTGCGAAAGGTACCAGGAAGTGCAACTGTCGGCAAGAAATGGTCACTCGGTCTCTGGGGCCGGGAAGGTTTCAGATGACCCAGCAAACTGTGTGTGACGAGTGTCCTAATGTGAAGCTAGTCAATGAGGAAAAGCTACTCGAGGTGAGTACAGAGTTCATTATTTTCCTTGATACCAAGTTTCTTTTTGATTGAGATGTACTCAAGGATAGATTCGAAATTTTCTCAAATCTTTGCGTAAACGATGCATTTTTGTGTGTGTTTATTTATCCCTGAAAATCGCACTAATAAATCCAAGCCAAAAAATACAGTCGTGCCTCTTCGACTTGAATTTCAAGGGATCAGCAGAATAAATTTAGTTTAGTGAACAAGTATTTCTGTTAGAAGAAATAATACAGGAAATTGTAATGTATGTAATTTATGGCCTTGAATTGCTTTTTGAACTAGATGTCAGTATACTGAACTTGAAGGCAAGGGTTTCGTTTGCCCAATTATTGTTGCACTTACTTTCAAAACGAATCGATCGTTATTTCTTTCATTGCTTTTCTCTCTCTTGTACCGGTAAAAATAATAGCCGAACAGCCCCCGGAAAATTCGACTTACGGAGGTAAAGCTCTTCAGTTTTCGAGGACTTCAATGCATTTTTTTCTGGGAAAATTCATGCAAGGACTTGTTGAAAAAATTACATTGGGAGGTACTTGACTTGAAGAAGTATCGATGTTGAGTTATGAATGACTTCTAGCGTTGCTTTGCTCGGCTGCCAATTTGATTGTGTAATTGTTTCCCTTAGGTTGAGATTGAACCAGGAATGAAGGACCTCCAAGAGCATCGCTTTGTTGCAGAGGGAGAACCTCACATAGACGGTGAACCAGGTGATCTCATCTTCAAAGTGAGTGTTTTTCAAGTCCTTACTTGTGGAATCTTCTAGTGTTTGACACTTGAATAAAGTACTGTATTTACACTGTTCTAAATGTCTAATAATTTGTTTCAAAATTGTCTATAACGAAGGTCCACAGCAAAAACGCAGTCGAGTGCTACAAATCTCATCCAAAGGTTGCCAGATCCAGTAGAATTAATTAATTATTCGAACGTTTTTCCATTTAAATTTGAATTTTAGGAAGTTGATCCGATTTTTTTTTGGTAGAAAGTAGGAAAATATATACATGAACTTGGAGCATGAATATTTAATCTATGAATTGACCTGACCCTGAAATTGATACCAGACTAAAACACATATTCTCATTTTTTCACAACAACCCCATGGATTATTGAGCTCAGAAACTTTATTTTTCATTTAAATTCTGAAGAAGAAGGTAGAGTCAAAATATAGGGAGGTACCGTATTTGTGAAGAATCACCCACTCGATTTTTCATGCGCAAAATTTTAAATTCCTTTGATGGATAAATATGAGCACCTTTGTATTTTGAATTGTCAAGATCATACGATTTTTTTTACTAATAATCGGTTTTTCTCAGAAAACTAAGTGACGCCCAACCCTTGCGTCAAAGACTCGTACATCTCCAAGTGCCAAAAGCGGTCAATTTCTTCAATATTTTCAAGTTCTATTCCGAAAGAGCTGAAGAAAAGAATAAGCACTTGACTATGTCAAGACCAATATTTGGTCGCGGACCGAAATATTTCCTGATATAGACGCGAATATGAGCAGAACCCCTAGTTTTTTGAGATTTTAAAATTGGGGAAAAAGGTTTTTCATTCCTACTGGCAGTACTTCATTGTATAATCAAATGTTTGTTATAACGAATGTTTTCCTTTGATTCCTGCGAGTGTGTTCCATGAGATTTAATTTTCAATCGCGGTACTTGAAATATTTTCGTGCGTATATTTATTTGTATTACTCTTGTTCCTTCGTGAAGATTCGAGGGTCTCCGCATCCGAAATTCGAGCGCCGCGGAGACGATTTGTACACAAATGTGACCATTTCCCTGCAAGACGCTCTGGTCGGCTTCGAAATGGAGATCACTCACTTGGACGGACACAAGGTGGCCGTGAAGCGAGACAAGGTAACTTGGCCCGGGGCTAGGATCCGGAAAAAGGGCGAAGGGATGCCCAACTATGAAAACAACAACTTGTTTGGCACCTTGTACATCACCTTCGACGTGTCTTTCCCAAAGTCCGATTTCGCAGAGTCGGACAAGGAGGCGATTAAGAAGGTGTTGAGTCAAAGCAGTGTCAACAACGTTTACAATGGTCTCAGGGGTTTTTGAAGAAAAACAAATTTTAAATTGTGGTGGAATAATGCGTGGTTCTTTGTTGGTTTTCTTTTTATTCGTGCTCAAGTCTTGTGGATGATCTGTGTCGTCTTTTCTATTTCCCCCACTTCGTTGACTGTTTTCGAGAATGTTATTCGTCTCTCTCGTTTTTTTTTTTTTGCAAAAGGGAAAGCAGTGAAAGATTTGATCCTGTGTAGGAATTCGCACTTGAGAGTGAATTTGTGTCCCAAGTGGAGCAACTGTTCTCAGGGACACGGTCGTGCTTCTTGGAAGCATCGCTGCCAAGTTGATTTTAATTTTTTTTTTCAAGAGTAATGAAGGCAGGAATAATCATTTTCCAGTGTGCAGCAAAATTGGGATTCAGTCAATAGCATCATTGCCAATTTGCTTGAAGGGAATTTTTGTTATTGCAAGAAATGGGTATTGAATTGATGCTAAAGGCAAATTAATGTGGAAATTTTTTTTAATGCAGTTACTGTTCGTTGTGGCGTGAATATATTTTACAGAAGCGTCATTGTCAAATTTTCCTAGAGCTTTTTTTGCGTGGCTGCGAAGAATGAAGTGGAGTTGAACGTGAGATTAAATGACCAACCTTGAGTATTTTCAAATTGACAAACATCACTAAAAAGGAAAGAACCCTGTATTATTTCACAACTTCGTAGCCACACTTTTTGCCTATAAATAATTTCATGGTACAGTAGTTCACAAATTTTTTAAAGGGCTTCCTTTAAGGATGTCTGAGACTCAAGAATTGAAATTCAGTCTTTCTAAGTTTGGCAGTGGAGCATTCATTTTTTTATGTGTACACCCTGGGGACAGTTGCTTCAGAGGATTTTTTCGCTTAGTGATGCGTGAAGTTTGCCTTGTGACAACTGCCTTTCATAATTTTTTTTTTCCAAACATGGCATTCTAGGCATAGCATTGTTCAGTCGACATAATTTCTTTGCAAAAAAATCATCACCGGTTGGAAAAGGAATGTTCCTCGCTGTGATACCGAGAATTTCTGTGTGCATGGAAAAGCGGCAAAAAATGACTTGATGCCTACTTGATGAAAAAGCTTCCCTTTTATTATTATAAATTTAGTGTACATATCAGTATGTATTGGAGGAATGCTACATGGAGTTTCTAGGGGATAAAGTATCAGAAAAAAGCGGCTCTGTGTTGTAACTGCGGGTTTCGGAATGGGAAGCAAATGGCCGCTTCGCAGGTTCAACTTCCGACACTTGAGCGAGTTTCGGCTGATCGAATCTGGAGTGCAGGAACTTGGTGGAGAACAACGTCCCTAGAATGACACCTGAAAAGAAAACGGAGATGTAAGTGAATTGAAACGTCTTCGTTGAATTTTGGAATTGTTTTCGAAGGTTGTTGAACCTTTTAATTGAGCGAAAATTGCCGAGATCAATTTGTCTGAAGAGTCCTTTTGAGGCTTGAGGTAAGTGCTTGTGTATTTCTAGAAAATTAGGAGCAATTTCCATTCGAAACGTTGTGATCTACCCGTTTTCAAGGTTAACAAGATATTTTGAAATTCGATTAAAATGTATCTTCGCGTCAGTGTGGTTGAAGTTACATTGCGTGCTTCTTGGATTTGAGCCCTTTGTCGATGGAGCTATTCTTCACCCGTGACTAGTATTCAATTGGATTATGTTTTTTGCTTCGAAAAGGTAGAAGGTGGAAATTTATCGCAGATCGAGTTCTTTTTTTTTTCGAAGGAGTGCTTTTCCCACGCGCGTCGCTGATGGTGTAACGATAACTTTTAAAAATTACAGTATGTATTTTCCAGATGATGACTCAGGCTCACCGATCCACATCTGACCGAAGAGTCGTTGCGAAATCATCACGCAGACGGCCATGATGACCCCACTTGCCAAGCTGATAGCCATTTTCTCGCTGAAAGGGATCTGAACTTGGGTCGCTCCCATTTTTGAGCCAGCTCTCAAACCTGCTCTAATGTCCGGAATGGAACTCGGAGGCGCATAGAGGTTCTTCCTGTCCATAATTAGCTCCTACGAGCAACAGTGAACAAAAGGAAACAACACAAAAACCTTTTCAAATCTCTGTTGCTGCCAAAACTCGTGGATGAGGGAAAGTAAAAGCGCAGGAGCAGGTTAACCGATTCTGCAAAAATTTCCTTCGGAACGTGGGGGCTAATGAAAATTCGGAGCTATAGTCGAGGTAAGCGGAAATTGTTTTATGATTTTTTGTTTTTGTTGAGCGGTTGAGCCGATTTTGTAAGTGTTTTAGTGATACGTGCGAAGGGGTTTTTGGAATTTTTGATGGGACGTCTCTTTCCAATTGTTTCTAGCGTACAATCAGAAAAGGATGGTCTTTTTTGACGCGTTCTGGACTAGATGAACGTGTGATGTTTTTTCGAAAATTGATGAAATCATTCTCGAGATAGGTCTTACATGTCAACTAATGTCTGTAAAATTCAGAAAAAAATACCTTGCTTCAGAAGAACCGGTTGGGTACTCGTGCGCCAGCGACATCTGGTAAACTGAAAAGTAAACGCATATGGTGGATACTGTATTAGGTTATCTTATACTTGTTGAACTTTTGCCCGATTCCTTCCATGTTGAGAAATTCAATTTGACCGAATTGATTGGGTCATTGCGAAATCCGTCATGCAACTTTTTCTGTCTTAATCTAATGCTGTCACGTCTACTTCACGATGATCACTGTTTTCCTCGTACATTAAATGCATATACAGTAGATGTCGCTTGAAGTTCGAGATTTGTGAAAGGGATACATGCTGTAATTGGTTAATTCGTATTTAGTTTTGTATTGGGACAATAATGGCTCAATTTTTTTATTTACTGGATTTTTTCTGTTTCTAATTGTGTGAAGTAAAATTTGTTACTCTATATTGTAGATTTATCATCGAATATAGTGAATGAGGTGATCCTACAATTTTGGATAATTTAGCCCTACCTAAGAATTGTGTTTTCTCCCTCGAATAAATACACGTGCTAGGTGTCACCAGAGGGTTCCGAATTCCAAAGGTTTTACCTTGTCACTTTTGGCCAAAAGTGCATCACGAAATTTTGATGCATGGGGAAACTTTGGGACGATTTGGTGTTTGTGTGAGAAGCTTTCCGGGAAGAGGTGATTCAAGGCGGGTGGGGAAGAAAGACTGACGGACAGGCAAAGAGACAAAGTGTCAGGCGGGCGCACTTTTGGCTGCATTTAAAATTAGCGGGATTGCGTTTAGTGTGGTCGCGAGCGTCCTTCAAAGCGGGTTCTATCTAGGAAGACTTGGCTGCATAACGATTCTCTTAGTTCCGTAAATTTATCTATCACTTGTATGGTACGTTAATTCCTTCTACTGCATTTTGTTTCAGAAAGAGAGAGTTCAATTGTAAAGAAAGAGATGGCTGGTTTTTAATGGGAGGAGGAGTTTTTGGCAACCTGTGCGTGGCACGTCACGACGATCGAGAGTGCGTGGCTTGCCCTCCGGAGGATTGCCCCTCCCACCTCCTCGTTCTCTCTACGGCGTTCTCTCTTCATTCCTCGATGAGACTTGGTCGGGTCATGTTCTCCCATGTTTCGGCGGTTTGCAAAATTTTACGCGATTTGTTGGTTTCGATTCGACTGACGTGTGCGCGTGACTCAGTGCTTCTCGTCCATCGAATTTGACTAATTTGTAAAGCTTTATGATGGTCAATTTATGATTAATGTATCGATCTAACGAGGTGTGTTCGCTTATGAACCACGCATTCTGACGGAGTTGGGCGCTTTGCTTCAACTCCTTCGAGTGACGATGGATCGAATTTTTGCTGTTCGTTCCGAAGTGATACACTTGCTTTGCGATTTATCATTACGCAACGCAGTGAGTGCGAGTGTTACGATTCAGTATCACAAAGTGTACTACGTTCACATGTCTTAAACTGCTATTTTAATCTCTTAAAATGGCTTGGTCGATCGCTCACGTATGGGATTTTTTCTCTAGTTGGATCGTGAAAGCCTACTTCGTGTCGCATTTTTGTGGGAATATTTCTGGCTGATTCGGGAGTATTCTTTTCTGGTTTCTGAATCAGTTTCCATGGCATTGAAACGCATTTCGTGCCTGTTTTTCATTCGGAACGGAAGTTAGACATCCATACTTTCAAAGCCTCGACGTAATTAATTTTAGTGGATTCCCAAAATGTCTCTTTCTGGCGAGGTTAGCTTTCATTTCTTCGAACGATTGTTTCTGTCTTTTTACGAAGTTTGCATCAAAATCTTGCGTGCTTCACATGAAATCTTGGCTTAGTCTGATCATCTCCGGGTTTTCTTCCTAGGATTTACAGTATTTAATCTCGACAGAAACTATTCGAAAAGCCCCTCGTCCTTCAGTTTAGAAAAAGTGTCGCTTCACGATGGCAATGATTTGATTTCGCGCGGGATTTCCCCGTCTTATTTCCGGACAGTTTTCGTGATCGGAAATCGATATTCTCCGAAGCCGGGGTTCACGATGTTGAATATTTCATAAATTTTTCCCGTTTTTCCGGTCACGAACTCCGGCTTTTTCTTGCGTTACTGACGCATAGATGACGTCTGTGCTTTGGAGCATGAAATTTTATGCGGAAGTTGAGGTGGAATGAAGCAAGCCAGCAGCTTCTGTGCGTTTTTATTTTCGTTTTTACGGCTTGCTAAAGATGCGATTCATGCGGTCGAGTTCAGAGCAAGTTGCGACACTTGGTTGCGAAGTTTTATTTTCGTGTGGGGGGTATATGAGCGTAATGGGATAGCGTTGCGGTGGGAGAATTTGACGGACGTGGTCTTGCATGAGTCGCATTCGGACTTTCACACTGGACAGGGGAATTTCTGTGGAATGAGTGTGAAGGCTGTGGGGGGGGGGGGGGAAGAAAAAATACGAACGAAACTGTGTAACCGTAATTAAGTGACTGAAAGGTGCTGCATTCCCAAGTTTATAATGCGTGAGCAACTTGAAGGAAAAGAATGTGGGGCAGTTTTCACTTTAATACCTGGGACATGAAGACAGTGTGTGTTTCTTTACTGAAATGAGCAAAATAAATTCATGCGATAATTGTAATGGTTTGAAAGTTTTGTTATGAGATTCTGTTTTTTGTGGGGAAGTTGTATTGTTGAATAATGTTATTGAAGCTTTTGGATTTGCCAAGAAAATCCATGATAACATTTTATTTCAACAAATATACAAAGAAAACAATGAACCCAATTCTGCTGTTACAATTTTTAAATGTTTGCACAAGAAATATTTGCATGAATCTTGAGATGACAAGGAAGACTGCATTTAATGCCCAGTTATGGCTGCCAGTGACATCTACATGCTTGAAAGCAACTTTTGTTTCTCATTGACTAGGTAGGACAGTGTGTCATTTGACTTGAAATTTATCACTTGTGATAGTTCCTTATTACGGGCTAGTTGACCATATTTGTCAGTATTTTACCTTGAAATACAGTTTTTGGCGTAGAAATTCCTGATTGAGAATCCTCCTGAATATCAAGTGATTCTGTTTCATTTGTTGATAATTTTCCTGAATATCTGCCCCCAATTTCTTAAACCTGTTGAATAATCAACATATTCGAGATAACTTGAGAATTCCGAATTATTTTCTCAAGAAACTGCCATGATCGCATTCTTGTATCATCAAAAAATGCAGTTAAATGAATTTTATATTTCTTCATAATTGCCTCGAAGGCAGGTGAACCTAATTTCAAAATTGAAAAATTTAGAAAATTACTGTATATAATTCATTGTAATTTATTAATCAATTATAAGTTCATCACATGAATATGAAAATTCCAAGTTCCAAAAAGGGGAGCGCAAGAATGAAAATAATGCCATACGCTGGAACAATGTTTCAGGCGACATCTGTTTGAAGAAGGATTAAATCGCTAAGTTTCGGACACCAGACCATGTAGGACAATGAATAAGCCTTTGTTACATTGCCAATAAACATTTTTTAATATGATCCAATGTAAAATATTACTTCCTGATGAAAAGCGTTTTGCTATTGTGAGAAATTATCCTTTGGAATTGTTTTGTGAGATTGTTGATTACAGTAAGGAAAAGTTTCTCAATGATTGACAAGACAGCGTGTGTCATTTTCTGTTGAGTGAATGGGGTTAATGAAGCTGAAAGCCACAAGGTATGAAAGGTTGTTTGTTTGTGGGAACAAGAGTCAGTATTGATTGTCTGGTGTAATCCTGTGCCAGGATGTTTTAGAAGGGAAGGAGGGGAAATGATAAAGCATGTTTTTGGTGCGTGTGTGTATGTGTGAAGAGTGGAAGTGAGTTTCCTGTGGAGCAAGTTTCCTCATTTGTTTTATTTATTTCCAGGATAATATTTCTTCTTTTGGGAGAAACAAACATGCTGAATTGTGGCTGCACTGCTGTGAAATATGTGCTCTGGATTGTCAACTTCCTAATTTTTGTGAGTGGCTAATTTGTATGACTTTGCAGTACTTTTAATTTATTAATTACTCTTGCTTGTGTGTGTTCAGATTGCTGGATTGGCTGTGCTTGCACTTGGTATATGGATATATTCTGACCTTTCTTCATTTTTATACACTGTGAGGAATCTGCCAGTGGAAAACTACCAACTTGAAGTAAGACCTTTTTTTTCAATAGAATGTTCCATTTTTGTATATGTATGCGCAAAAACTACTATATTTAATCATGAACATCACTGGGACTACATTTAAAAGAATGAGGCTTTAAAACATTCTGGGTTTACTTTTCTTAGGGCCTCATACCCTCAGTAATTTGAGACTTCCCTTGAGAGGACAAGTTCACTAATATTTCTATGCATAAATTCTGGGATAGCTTCCTGAGTAATAAATGGTACTTTTGAAATGTTCTGGTTTCCCTGTCTAAGAGTGACATCTACCCACATTAATTGGAGACTTCCTTTAAGGGACCACAATTTTCTTGAACATGGCTTTAATCTTAATTATGCATATTCTTTCTGTGAATGGATTCTGGGATAGCTTTGTAAATGCTGAATGGCCATTTTTAATAGTTCTGGTTTCCTTATCTAGAAGTGACATGTACCTAAATTAATTTGAGACTTCCTTTGAGGGGACACAATGTTTTTAAACATGGACCTATTTTTGAGATGGAAAATTATTTCTATGAATAAATTCTGGGAAAGCTTCTTGAATAATAAATGGTCATTGTAAGGTGTTCCATGTACTGTATACAAATTTTCAATTGTATAGGTATGGACACAGTCTCAGGTGTTGAAAGAAGCAATGTATGTATTGATGGCACTGGGGGGATTTTTGCTGATCCTGGGATTTCTGGGTTGC